GCTTATGACGCAAAATAAACAATGTTCCAAAATAGGAAAAACCCAGGTAAAGATGAAGTTGCAATGACCAGGGTGATATCATCGAGATACAAAGCCGCCATTGCTAAAAGACGTTGAGAGAAGAAACCAAAGTTGTCGAAGAAAGAAATTATAGTTTATGATGCTCATCTTGAGTCATCGTGTAACTTGAGATATATCACTTTGGTTGTTTCTAGATTTTAAACTAGTTTTTGGACTTTTTTTTTAAACCCAATTTTTTTTATCAAATCACGATTTTTTTAAAAATCTCTAATTTTTGGGGAAATTTTTTTTTCAAAGATTATTAGTGATTTATTTTATTTGAAAAAATTTCAAGGAGATTAACGACCGTATGTGTTTGGTCCCTCCGGTGGCGACCGTCGTCGTGAGTGGATTACAATTTATTTTTATTTTCCTTTCTTTATGCAGCCATTCCTTCGCCACAACTGTTGCTCTCGTCTTGGTGGTGGACAAAAGAGATGCTTTGCTCTGTAGCGGTGAGTCAAATCAGATCGGAATTATTCGGTGATGGTTTGGTTTTAGGTCGGTGTTTGATGTGGTTCGGATTTGGTCTTTGCCTTGGTCAGATTTGCGTCTCGTGGTAGTTTTGGTATGGTGTTTGCCCTTAAGACAGCGACTAGAGTTTCAACGTCTAGGTCAATATTGTTATGTCGACGGTTATGGTTTGGGTTGAGGTTGGTATGAATGGAGTTTCGCAGGTCATTCGGTATGGGTCCGAGCATGGGCATTATCGTTTCTTATCTACTCGGATTATGGAATGTGGCGAAGCTGATTTATCTTGCGTATTCTCAAGATCTTTCCTCACTTTTCTTCCTCGAATCATCTGACTGTTTTCGACCTTCTATATGAGTTTTCTAACATTCTCCGTCGAAAGTTTGAGTATGTGCTCTTTATCAGCTTGGTTTGCCCTGATTGGTTTTCTATGTGCCTCTCCTTCAAATGGTGGATCAATGTTCATATGTAATCTACGTTACGGAAGTAATCTTTTCTCCCATTTGATGGTCATCTCTGGTTTTTAGTAAGAAGGTTTGGAAATCATGGTATCCTCACAGTCAGTAGGTCATCGATAGTCGGTCTGAAAGAGTTGAGTAAGTCCGTGTTTTAACTCTTCTAAATTTATTTATAGGTTTCATTGGTCGTACATGGTGTTTATCGCGCTAGAGATTGTATAAATTTGGCTTTGGACCATATGAAAATTTATTTGGGTCGTGATTTCACTTGGCTTTGTGTTAAATAATTTCTTATAAATTTTTATCGTTTGGTTTCAGAGGTTTGAGTTATGTCGGTTTTGTTTTTCGTTAATCTTTCAGATTTTGTTTTCCGTTAATATTTTGAACTTTTTTCCGGTAAACTCTGGAACTTTATTTTTCAGTTAACTTTCTGGTTACAGAATATACAAAATATTTTGATGAAAAATAAAAATTTACCCGTATGTGTTACTAGCTTTAAGTAAAAGCTGTTAGGTTCTATTGGATCCTATATCCTAACAAAATCCAACGAATTTTTCCACTAAGATTTTCAGTTTTCACTTTCTTTGATATTGATCTTTTTGTTGCAACAAATAATTATCGAGCGATATATTGGAAAATCCACACTACAAAAAAAAAGGTCGATACGAAACAACAAAATTGATGACCCGTAAATTGAGTGTACATAATTAATTTTCTCCTTAATAGATAATTTCCCATAACTGGGATATATATATATATATTTTTTTTTTGAAACCAATTGGGAGAATTTGTTGAATAAACGAAAAACCAACCG